GTTCCATAACAAGGAAGGCCCAGGAGCATCTTTACTTTCTTAGGAAACTGAGGAAGGCACAGCTTCCACCACACATTCTCATAACCTTCTACAGAGGGATCATCGAGAGCACCCTGAGCAGCTGCATCAGTTTGTGTATTTTTTGTATATTTAGCTTTTGTATTTTTTTTTAGCTTGTGTATTTTTTTCTCCCTTTAAGTTCTTAGATTTAGACCTATATGTAGCTCTGTGTCCTGTTTTGTCTGATGTAGCACCTTGATCCTGGGGAAACGTTTCATTTCACTGTGTACTGTACTGTATATTGTTGACATGACAATAAAACTTGACTTGACCTCAAACCATGGGGTCATGTCCACCATTAAAACCATCTTTCCAAGCAGCCTCCATGTTTCCAGTGTTTTTTTCCCCACTGAACCCAGAAGGACATTTCTTCCAACAAAAGATAGGTATCTTACAAGGAAACATGGTCTAAGCTAACACTTGTTTGCAGGATATAATCCATATTCAACAAACAGCAGATATCAAGGATGATAAGCATCTAGGAATCAGGCACTAGTCTATCTTCTATCTTAGTTTATCAATAGTTTATTTTGATGGTTAAGGCACCAGGCCAGAAAGTAGGGGACACTGAATTCTAGGGCCACCTTACCCATGAAAGCCAGCTGGGCCAGTCCCTGTCTCTCAGCCCAATCCAGCTCACAGTTGTTGTTGTGGGGAAAACAGAAGGAGGAAGGAGTGTTGGATGTGTCTGTTGCCCTGACTTCTTTTAAAAATAATAAAGGAAGGATACAAAAAAACAAATAAATATATCTAAATTAACCCAAAGTTAAAGCTGACAATAGCAGGCCGTTTGATGTACAAATTTGATCAAATAACTATGTTCATTTTTTACTATCTATTCCATCAAGAAATACCTTGATGTAGAGCTATAACTGCATCATGGTGCCATCTGTTAGCAGACCTAGTTAAATGACTCAAGTGTTTTGCTTTGCTTCATGTTAATGCCATCTGTTGGGAAAAAGATGGAACTAACCAACAGCTAACATCTTGATTGGTTGAAATCGTCTGATAATAACAATTTTAACTATTTGCAACAATTGTTTTCCAATCTTTTAAAGTTTTTTTTGGTAAAAAACCAATGTCAGGCTACCTATTTTCTTAGCAACTTAAAAAATTAAGTCAACAAGTTTAGCTTCTTTCTTGAAGCCTGTATTGTAAGACTATATATTTATCAGGACTAAAAACAATATAAGATATTTGTGGCACAAAATTGTAATAGACCACCATTATACACAAGGAATATTAACCCGAATGAAAATGATAATGTCAGAATGAGGAGTATGGGTCAATCATATACATACATGATTAGGTGATACGGGGAAATAGTAATGTCAGGGGGTCAGGATAAAATGCTGAAGCTGCAGATAGAGTTAATAACTTACTTAAATTGAAATTCACAAAACTATTGCGGGGGTCTGACATAAAAACATTCTTGCATTGCTGATATGTGGGATGTGACAAGGATCTTCTTTTCTCTCTGTTCAGTCTTTGTGTAATAAACACAAATCATGAACCAGACCTTGGTTGAGCCTGAAAAAACTAAGCAGACTTAGTCAGTAACTAAGACTAGACTGAGAAGTCAAGCAAGAACCCAGAAGAAGGGAATGGCAAACTTTCATTAATGTTGCCAAGAGAATAACATGGATGTACATTTCAGAACAAGCTGATATTTAGTAGGAATTATTAACTAGATAGTCGTTATCTATACTGTAGTGATTATTAACTAGCTAAGCAGTAGCATCTATCTGACCTTGGCTGTTTTTGAAAAGTAAAGCAAGGTTGGACCTGATGGAGCTTGATAGAAAATCCCAAGGTTTTGGGCTAGATTGGGAAATATATATATTTAAAAAAAAGCTCAGAAGAATTCAGAATCTTTACAGAATAACAAAGGGCTCTCAGAGCTCTTCTAATCCAAAGATTAAGAAGAAGACCCTATGCCCAGGATGGCGAACCTATGGCACAGGTGCCACAGGTGGTACCCGGAGCCATTTGTCAGGGCACGCAAGGCGTTGCCCTGTCAGCTGGCCAGCGTGCATTCACGCGATGGCCAGCTGACTTCAGTGGGTTTTTTAGGCCATTTTTTGCCCTCCCCAGAC